CTGCAGGCTAACAGGCATCATTCAATATAAACCAAAACAGAGAACAGTGAAATGAACTTGTGAAAAAGCACCGCTTTGACGCCGTTGGCTTGTCCACCGGGTAAAGGAAGTGAACGCAGCTTCACTTCCTGTGTGGACTGGTGAGCGCCGCAGAGACTCACCCGGTGGTGGCGTCCCTCGGGCCACAGTTCCGGGCCCCCTGTTGTTGACACTGTTCATCGTAGCCCTGAGGAACGCCACGCGTCACGACAAGTTCCCGATATAGTTTTGGATTTAGTTTCAATAAATAAAAAGCTAATTTCTGTCGTCACGTCCTCGGAAACGTGAACTCAGTGTTGTTCAAAGCTTCAGATCAAACGCCCCCCGGTGGACTTAGCTGCCAATTGCTAGGCTCCACTTTTAGCACCATGTCCATCTTAGTTACGGCCTCCCACTGTGGCTAAATAAGAAGCTAGCATGAAACCACATTTTACAGGGTGTCTGTCGTGAATGTACCATAAATATGAACGGGAACTTTTTTGACCCTGTCGATCCAGCAGAACGGTTAGCTGTTAGAAAGAAAACAACAACAAAAAAAAAACACATCTACTGTACAAATCTTTTTTTTTTTTGTCGAATCGACAATAAAAACATCAAAACATGGAAACAAAGGCGTCCCTGTGCAAAGTGGAACATGGCAGAACCAAAGTCCTTTCACCCGCGTCAGATTCCGACATGATTGTAGTAAAAGGTTTGTACAAAAACTCAGAGTCGACTGGAGGTCATAAAAACCTCCGGCAGCTCTTTGCTAGCATCATTTATAAGAAATTGCATATACCCAAATGTTTCGTTTGCATCCTTTATCTAAAGAAATGATTTCATATCCGATCAATATTGCTAAGTTATTTTAGCTACTCCGATAAACTCACCGCGGCAGATTGTCTTCTAGGTTTTTACCAAGATTTTTGTTTTCTTTAGAATTTCCCACTTTGGCCGTCGGCCGTGGAGACGAGAGTCCGAGCCTTCGCGACACCAACTCAAGGGCGGAGCAGAGGATCATGGGAGTTCCTCCGGCGTGTGCTGATGGTTGAGGGTCTTCTCCAAGACCACGTTCACATCAACCTCACGTAGTCTGGTTGAAAAAGTCCGACTGGGCAGTGAAGCTGCTGGACCTTTGGTCTGGTCTGAGAACCCTCACCTGGTCCACCAGCCCTGGGTTTAGCTCCTACCGTCTCTTAGCAAAGACCGGAGGTTGGGTTGGTTGGAGGTTGGCTCCGCTACGACCCATTAGCCGCTCGCTAACTTTACAGTAACTGCTCAGAACAAAAACATCTGTGTATACAGTGATCCCTCTCCTATCGCGATAGTTGCGTTCCAGATCGTTCTTCTATTGTTAACCCTTCATGAACCCCCCCCCCACTGTTATCACCCCCCCCCACACAGTTATATTCACAGTAGAGTTGTAGAATGACGACGCAGAGTGAACGAGAGTGGTCGACAGACAGGGGGCGCTACTGAGAGATGCTACGATGCATGAGCCAATCAGAGGGAGGAACAGAAGAGAAAACGTGCTTAACTCAATTTTAAAACCTTCATTTCATCCATCATGTTTTCGTGTGTATAATTATTTTCTGTCTTTTAGTTCAGTTTTTTGCTATATTTCGCAAAGATTTCGCTCAATCAGATTTTTTTTAAAAAGTGCTGTTATACCATGGGAGTAAAAAGAAAACCGCGATACAGAGGGGGAACACTGTAAACCAGGTTCTGAATGTCGATTGTCATTCAAACTACTCCACTGGGGGCGCTGTCCTGCAAACCTATGGCCCTCACTGTGGGTTTCCTCACTGCAGTTACCCAATAACAAGGGTTACATTAGCTGCTAAGACGTTAGCTGCTAAGACGTTAGCTGCTAACACATACAGCTGCTAACACATACTGCTCACACCACATTAGCTGCTAACAGAGTAGCATTGCTGTTTTTGAAGGGATGATGAAGCGACTTGTCCACAGGAGGTGCTGTTGGCTCCTCCAGAGGAGGTAGAATTAAAAACAGACTCAGTTCTATCTTTGGATGTTTTTGTTTTTGTTTGTTTGATTGTTGTTCTTCCTGTGAATCCCCACTCGTCCTCAGTGAAGGTTCTAGAAGACGAGACCATCAGGCCTGTGGTTTCTCCGCTGGGTTTTTGTTGGACCAAATTCAGGAACCAGTTTGAAGGACCAGTTACAAACCTCACCGATTCTAGTCCCACTCTGTGTGCCATAACCAAACCAGCCACTAGGTGGAAACAGAGCCTCTGTAAGAAAACAAACTCCTTCCTTTGACACCTTTTTTTTCGTCCTTTTTACAAGTGATTGTTGGACCTGTGGAGCCCATGACCCTCAGGTTTGTCTCTGGACATGAATGTAGATAAATGAACAGATCTACGTGGACGACAGGAAGTGGATTCACATCAGCAGCCGTCGACAGGACGTCACATTATTACAGGTCGTATGAAAATGTACAAAATGTAAAGGACGGAAACAGAAAATCAGAGCTAGTCGTTATTTACACGTTTAAAAACCTGGAGGAGGTGCAGGAGGCGAAGGAGGTGCAGGAGGCGGAGGAGGCGGAGGAGAAGAAAGAAAAGAAGGGGGAAAAGATTTCAGCAGCAAAAAACAAAAAAACAAAACGAAGAACAAACCAGGCTGTTCTTCTTCGTCGTCGTGTTTTTCTTCTTCTTCTTCTTTTTAGCCGTTAGCTAAACCTGGATGCCCTGAACGGCCTGTTTGATGTTCTCCAGCAGGGCCTTGTTCTCCGGGCTCTGGTACTGGTCCTGCTGGGTGTACATGTCTGTCAGCGTGTTCACGTAGGAGTCAAAGTTCTGTTCGTTCATTGGCTCCTGGAACAAGAAGAAAAAAAGAGTGAGAGGAGAATCGGACATCACCGCCGTCGTCCTCGTCGTCGTCGTCGTCGTCGTCCGTCCTGGTCTGTTCATCTCGTCCTCACCATGTGCGGCAGCTGGATGTTAGCTAAGCTGTTGATTAGCGACTGACTCAGGTTGGCTAGCTCGTGCAGCAAAGAGTCGTTCTGCTGTTCGATGACTTTGTTTTCCTCCTCCATGGACTTCAGGTTGGTCTCCATGGTGGTGATCTGTCCACAGGAGGGCAGACTTTTTCATTCCACTGATCTTTGATTGGACGTTAATTAATCAACGTTAATTTGATCTCATTTTGTTTGATTTCTTCAGATCTTTTATAAATAACTAGTTCATCCTGTGGCTAACTCTGAGCTAACGATTTTCATAAAGGCTAACCTTGATGTTATCTGTTAGCCAGGTTTAAGGTTAGCTAAGGCCAACGTTGACACCTGTTTGATAACTGTAGCCACTCTTGGTCACGTGACCTCGCTGCTCTCTACACTTGTATCTAATTGGTTGGATTTTTAGCTGGTCAAAAAAACCGTCCTCTAACCTGCGTCCTCAGTTTGATCATGTCTGACTCCACCTGGTGGTTGGACTCGTTCAGGTCTTTGATTTCTTCGTCCAACTGTTTGATCTCCTCATCGTTTTCAATGCCTGGAACCAAAAACAGCAGGTCAGAGGTCAGGTCAGAGGTCAGGTCGCACAGATCACTGGGTTGAGCTCAGAGGTTCATTTGATTGGTCCTCACCTTTACTCGCCCTTTGTTTGATCGTTAGCATCTCCACGCCGCTGAGACGAGCCTTCTTCATGGCCGAGGTGGCGCGAGGGCAACCGGAGCAACCGGAGAGACTGGAGGAGGAGGAGGAGGAGGAGGAGGAGGAGGAGGAGGAGGAGGAGGAGGAGTGTTAGCCTCAGTCTTAGCCTCAGTGTTAGCCTCAGTGTTAGCCTCTGTGTTAGCCCCAGTCTTTGCCTCAGTGTTAGCCTCAGTGTTAGCCTGAGTCTTAGCCTCAGTGTTAGCCTCAGTGTTAGCCTCTGTGTTAGCCCCAGTCTTTGCCTCAGTGTTAGCCTCAGTGTTAGCCCCAGTGTTAGTCTCAGTGTTAGCCTTAGTCTTAGCCTCAGTGTTAGCCCCAGTGTTAGTCTCAGTGTTAGCCTTAGTCTTAGCCTCAGTGTTAGCCCCAGTGTTAGTCTCAGTGTTAGCCTTAGTCTTAGCCTCAATGTTAGCCTCAGTGTTAGCCTCAGTGTTAGCCTCAGTGTTAGCCTCAGTGTTAGCCTCAGTGTTAGCCTCAGTGTTAGCCTCAGTGTTAGCCTCAGTGTTAGCCTCAGTGCCTCAGTGTTAGCCTCAGTC